ATGCTGTTCCTGAATCCCCAGCGCAGCCTCAAGCAGGAGGACATCCGCTCGTTCTTGGTGTCCGAATCCGACAACAGAAAGTTCACAGAACAGATGGGGCAGCTGTTGCTGCAGGACTGCGGGAAGGAGCACTCAGACCTGAGCAAGACCTTCCAGGTGATGATGAAGGACAGCACGGGCATCCCCGTGAACGTGCACGTGTTTGCCGTGTCCTATTTTAGCCAGGGCGGGCTCTCGGCCTTCAAGGTGGGCGTCCTGGAGGTGAGCGACTCCGACTCCATGCTTCTGCCAAACCTAGGGCATCTGGCGGAGATCAGGCAGCTGCGCCGGCGGGGTCGCCGGCCAAAGCAGGACCTGGAGCGAACGCCGCCGGGGCCGCCCCCCGGTCCGCCAGAGGACGCTGAAGACAGCAGCGGCAGCAGCAACGGCACTCGGGCTCGGATGCTTCAGGCTCGACGTTTTTCAATGATTTCGAGGGGGACGCCCCCGCCTTCTGGTTCGACGTGCTCTCGGCTGGCTACGACATTCTGTGTTTGTCCGACAGCTTTCAGCATTGCTTCGGCACCTGCGAGGACGCGAAGTTTCTGAGCTGGGTCAAGATGAACCAACACGACCAGTTTGTGGAGTGGGTCCAGGAGTCGTATTTCGCGCTCCTGGGCCAGACCGAGGGTGACTCCTCAACCTCCACGGAAATTCTTTCGCGCCCCCTCCACTTCATGCCGACCCACCTGCGCCAGCACCGGCTCGCCTTCTCGGCCACGGTATTCCTGGACCTGGGCGACATCCCGGACATGTCCAAGCGGGGCCTAGGCACCGCTCGCCTGACCTTCAGCAGCGTCCGGCGCTGGACGACCAGCGGCGCTCGACGAAGGCACGGCCGAGGGCCCAGGCGGCCGCCGCAGCGCGATGGGGGGTCGCACCGCAGCGGTGGGACCCCGGGCGCCCTCGAGGGCGCGGGGCCGTGCAGGTTCTACAGCCTGTGAGCCGCGCCGGCAGCCCGGGGCTCGCCGGTCCCGGCCTCTGCCCGTCGGGCCGCGCCCCCTCGAGCCCCGTTGGAACTGTTTCAATATTCTCTGAAGGAAAATTGGCAGAGCTTCTAACCAAGATTTTCTGAGACAGCTTGCTTTTCAGGGTTGTTCGATCCGCTCGGCCACAGCGTCGCTCAAGCGGAGGCGGGGTAGACCGATGAATGCATGGGCATCGTGCCTGCGCAACTGCATTTCGGGTGCGTTCGCATCAGACGAGCACGTCATAGAGTACTTGCGGGACCTTCCCAAATGGGAAGTCTTTGTATGACGTCTCACTGAGAGTTTTGGGCCGGACCCAGAACAGGCTTTCTAGTATTTATATATACATATATGTATATATATATATATATCTCTATATATATATATATATATATATATATATATATGTCGGCGGTGCCCCGTGGCACGAACCCCCCCCGGCCTTCCAAGGGGGGTTCGTACCAGACGCACCAGGTGCCGCCGACAGCCTGGACCCCCCCCCTCTCCCCCCTTCCCGAGGGGTTTCGGACCGCGCGCACATGCGGACCCCCTTCCCTGTGGTAGTTGGGTGGGGGACTCCTGTGGGAGTGGGGCGGAATCGGGAGGAGCGGTGAGGAGTGCCGAGTAGGGCCGAGAAGTGCGGTGAAGTGGGGAGGAGTTTTGGGGAGCGACGAGGAGTGCCGAGAAGTAGTGCAATTGAGCAGGGTGGCGACTTCCGGGGACCTCCAGAAACCTCTGGGGACCGAGGACGTCCGGAACCCGAAACACTGCCCAGGAAACTTCCGTGGGTTCTGAATGGCGTCGCCGTCGTCGCCGCCGCCGCCGACGCCGCCGCCGGACGCTCGCACGCGACCCCTGGGCGCTCCCACACGCTTCTGACCTGGAGGTTGGGGGCATCCCGGGGGGGGGTCGTGCCTGGAATCCTCACCAGCGGTGCATCCTGGGGGGTTCTGTGCATCTCGAGGGGGCTTCGTACTGGCCCGCACCAGCGGTGCCTCCAGGACGAACCCCCCAGGATGACCGATCCCTGGGGTGGGGTCGCTCCGCACCGGGCACCGCCGACATATGTGTAGATATATGTACGTATACATTCATGTGTTTCTGTATTCATTTATGTATGTATGTATGTATTATTGTATGTATGTGTTTGTCGATGTATGTGTTAGTTCGTTTATGGGTTTAGTAATGTGTTTATGTACTCATGTATGTATATGTTTGTTTGCTTATGCATTCACTTCTTCATTCACACACAGTCGCCTGCGGGCCCGTGCGCTCGTCCAGCCATGCTCCTGCGCCTGCGCGCGCGCCTCGCGCGTTGCCAAGGGCCCACCCGCCCGGTCGGGCCCACCAAGGGCTCTGCGCTCCCGGTCCGAGCCCGCCGCCAGCTCGGGCCCACCACGCACCCGGAGCTCCAGCACCCGCTCGCTCACCGCCACCTCCGCCGCGGCGCCACCCCGCGCCACCCCCGCCAGCTAAGCTCGCTGCGCACGCGGCGGCGTGCCAGCGGCAGCCCGAGCCAGGCGTCGGGCCAGCAGCGCCCTGGTGATGGCACCAGTCGGCACGAACGAATCTTCCTCCTCCTCCTCCTCCTCCTCCTCCTCCTCCCCCTCCTCCTCCCCCTCCTCCTCCTCCTCCTCCTCCTCCTCCTCCTCCTCCTCCTCCTCCTCCTCCTTGGGTACAATGCCCAACAGCAGTTCCTGTTCATTTTGAGCAGGACTCGCTGTCCGCGCCGCCGCTCGAGGCAGAAGGCCGCCTGCCCAACAGTGGCCGTTGCTGGTCTGGGACAGCATTTGCTGTTGGGCCTTGTGCCCAGTCTTTCGGTACCCATGTCGGGTGTCCAAAACCAGGCCGCTGGCGCCCGGGTGCGCTTCACCCCAAATTGCCGTCCTGCCACGGCGGCGCTGCCTGGCCAGCAGCGCCTCGCCGAACGCCTTCCAGCACGGGTTGCCGTGCGGGGAGGGGGGGGGCCGCCACGCCTGTGGAGGCGCCTCCCCGCTGCGCCATTCGGAGGCGCGCCCGCCTCTGGCTGCAAGCCCCCGGTCGCCAGACCGGGGGCGCCCCCGAAGCGCACGCAGCAGCCAGCAGCAGCACGGATCACGAGGGGAGCTTGGACGCGGGGACGTCTGCCTGGCAACTGGCAAGATGCAGCCGTTTGACCAGTGGCTCAGGAGGAGGAGGAGGAGGAGGAGGAGGAGGAGGAGGAGGAAGGAGGAGAGGAGGGAGGAGGGGGAGGGGAGAGGGAGGAGGAGGAGGAGGAGGAGGAGATGAGTAGGAGGAGGAGGAGGAGGAGGAGGAGGATTGCCCTTCTTGAGTCCATGTGAGTCCATCGAACTAAGCCGCGTTCGTGCCAGTGGGTCAACCCCCAGGTGGGCGCGAGGATGCTCGCGCGTCGCGCGCGCGGTCTGGGCCACAGCGGCTGCCGTTCTCCAGGGGCGGCCGCGCGGGGGCGCGAGGGCGCAGCGATGATTGCGCGCCGCGGGGCGCGATGCGCGAAGTTAGGGGTCCTCCTCTTCCTCCTCCTCCTCCTCCTCCTCCGCCTCCTCCTCCTCCTCCTCCTCCTCCCCCTCCTCCTCCTCCATTCCTTCTCCTTCTTGATCATTTCTCCTTGTCGCACCCCGAGGCCAGTTTTCAGGGCGGGCCGGGCGTTTCGCCTGAGGCTTCTTTTTATGATTCTGAAGCTTACACAGTGACAAGAGCTTCACAGATGGAGGGCGGGTGGTTTTCAAAATGTCTCTCTCGCCTTGGCGCCGCGCACATTCGTTTTCAAAATTTGCAAGAGCTTCACGTATTGAGGGAGGGCGGATTTCAAATTTCTCTCTCGCCTTAGCGCCGCGCACATTCGTTGTGAAAAACGCAAGAGATTCACGGATTGAGGGCAGATCGTTTTCAAAATGTGGCTCTCGCCTTAGCGCCGCGCGCATTCGTTTTAAACATTTGCAAGAGTTTCACGGATTGCAGGCGGTTTCTTTTCAAAATGTGGCTCTCGCCTCAGCGCCGCGCACTTTCGTTGTAAACATGTACAAGAGCTTCACGGATGGAGGGCGGGTGGTTCTCAATAGGTGGTTCTTTCTTTAGCGCCGCGCACATTCGCTTTCAAAATTTGCAAGAGCTTCACGGATTGAGGGCGGGTCGTTTTCAAAATTTGGCTCTCGCTTTAGCGCCGCACGCACTTTTGTAAAACTGTGCAAGAGCTTCACGGATTGAGGGCGGTTCCTTTTCAACATGCGGTTCTCGCTTTAGCGCCGCGCACATTCGTCTTAAACATGTGCACGAGTGTCACGGATTGAGAGCGGTTCCTTTTCAAAATGTGGCTGTCGCCTCAGCGCTACGCACATTCGTCTTAAACTTGTGCAGGAGTTTCACGGATTCCCATGATCGACGTACCAAACAATCGTGTTTGGACAGGATTCAGGATTTTGTGGGTGCAGCAGTTCGCGGTGAAATCCCAAAGACGGCGTTCTGGCACAATTCCATATCGCCCAAACGCAGCAGTCAGGTTAACACGTGGCGTTGACATCCCGAGAACAATGTGTTGGCATGCTTCAGGATCTTCAAACGGCTGTCTTCCAACGAGGCAGTTCCCTCAATGGAAATGTACCGTTGTAGGGGCCTATGAAGAGGGAGCTTGGAGGAACGGTTAATTCCAACATCGTTGATGATTCTTGGGTTTACACTGGTCCTCCTCCTCCTCCTCCTCCTCCTCCTCCTGCTCCTTCTCCCTGCTCCTCCTCCTTTTCCTCCTTCTCCCTCCTCCTCCTCCTCCTCCTCCTCCTCCCCCTCCTCCTCCTCCTCCTCCTCCTCCTCCTCCTCCTCCTTCTGCTCCTCCTCCTCCTCCTCCTCCTGCTCCTTCTCCTCCTCCTCCTCCTCCTCCTCCTCGCAGGTGCCGCGTGCCTGGATGGGGCCTTGTGGGCGCACAGCGGCCACAGTCGAAGAGGGAAACGAGGGGAGAAGAGGAAGATGAGCAGGAAACAGCACGAGATAAGCTTTCGAACGCTGCGATCGTTTCTGATTCTGCCCTCTTATTCTTTCTCTGCACAGGAGGAGAGGGAGGAGGAGGAGCAGGAGGAGGAGGCGGAGGCGGAGGAGGAGGAGGAGGCGGAGGAGGAGGCGGAGGCGAAGGAGAAGGAGGAGGAGGAGGAGGAGGAGGAGGAGGAGGAAGAAGTAGAGGGGGAATGTGTTCGCGCCGCCGACGACGGCGACCGACGGCGGCGGCGACGCCGACGAGGACGACGACGACGACGACGACGACGACGACGACGACGACGACGACGACGACGACGGCAACGACGGACGGACGGACGGACGGACGGACGGACGGACGAACGGACGGACGTACGGAAGGACGGACGGACGGACCGACCGATCGACCGACGGATCGACGGACCGACCGACCGACGTTCGACAACCAGCGACCGACGACCGACCACCGACCACCGACGACCGATGACCGACGACGGCCGACGATCGACCACCGACGTCCGACGACGACGACGACGACGACCACGACGTCGACAGATCGATCGACTGCGCCGACTGCGCCGACGACGGACGACGATGACCGATGACGACGACCGATGACCGATGACGATCGACGACCGAGGACCGAGGACCGACGACAACCGACGACCGACGACGGCGACAGACCGACCGGCCGACCGACCGGCCGTCCGACCGACCAAACGACCGACCGACCGACCGATCGACTGTGCTGACGACGGACGGCGACCGACCGACTGCGCCGACGACGACTTCGGCGCTGGGCGTCGCCGCAGTCTGCACAGCCTCGCCCCGCCCGGGCTCCCTCTGGCGGGCCATGGGGCGGCCAGCGGCAGCCAAGCGGCTGCGGCTACATCGGCCGACGGGAAGCCGGCCCCACCCCCCGCCTCCCCTCCTTGTCCTCGTCATGCCCCCCCCCTTTCCGCTCCTCGTCGTCATCGTCGTCGTCGTATTCCTACTCCGCCGCCTTGTGTTGTTCC